AGTTTGCTGCTTTGGTTTTCTTGTTGTAGTTGTCACAACTGTCAATAAAATTGCTGCTATTTATAAAAACCCAACTTAATTGTAGGTTCTGTTTATTTTTGTATGAAATGTTCTTTGCTATTTTTGCTGTCAGAAGGAAAATTGGAACACTATTACACGAGATACGATAAAATTACAATAAATAAGGGTCGCTAACAATAACAAACATCGATAACTTATGTCGGTGGTTTATAATAGTGTGGAGCAATGTTGGTACGTTTAGACCCTTAATTGGCCTAAGTGTACTAAATTGCAATAATGTTTACAAACTTTTTTGTTAATCATCCATATTGATAACCACTAATTATCAGATTTGGCTGGACCCAATAGGTTCTTATTAATGATCCAATCTAGGAACTTGGTATGGGTGTGGTAAATTGATGCAATTTTTTTTGTTTTCTTCAAAAACTGGTAAAAAAAACCTGGTGGCAGGGGTTTCTATTAGATACTGTTCTATTTTTCCTGCTAGTGTTAAGACCTCTAGTCTTTACGTTTCTTATACGAGTATTAACAGCAACTCATGAATTTGGTCGTTTCGCAAGCTGGTGCTTTTACGAATCTTCCTTTACTTTTTAAGTCTATTTACTTTTACGTCTATCTATATCTTGTTTTTTTAAGTAACAGTTTTGCTTACACCTATTATTTCTATTTATAAGTAGTGCTATTTCTAAAAATATTACTGTACTCTGATACATTCATATGATGTGGATGGAATGTTGATGTGCTGTCTTAGTCTACTAAAGAAATATTTCTATTTCAATCTAAATTTCTTTTAAAATAGGGATTTGGTTGCACATTAGTCTTTCAAGAGTATTTGATAAGATTCAAACTGTTAATTCTCTCTAAAATTCTTATAGTGATTTCGTCTTTCGGGGATATTTGATATGAGTTTAGCTGCTGGCTCTCTTCGAAATACATATGGTGTTCTTTTTTTATAACAAAAACTTTAACTTAAAAGACAATGTAATAACCAGGTCTACGGTTGATATCTTCCGTGAAAATTCTGGATTATTACATTTTTTAGTTTTGTTTTTAGTTTTGATTTGCAATGATATTTGAACAAAACGAATTTTACTTTAAAGTTGTTTAATACAATTTTTTTATTATTTAGGTTGTTAGATAGATAGTCATGTGTGGTCATCTACATCCGTTCTACGGAGTTAAACCAAAAGAGAAAATATTTGCGAATATGAGTCAAGAAAACTCAGTTTTTCAGGCTGAAGAACACGTAATTGAACTATGTCTTAGAATATATAAAGAGAAACCCATCACTGGTAAAAACATATATATTTTCTCTGACAGTAAATCGGCACTCCTAGCACTACGCTCACCTAAAGTAACCTCAAAACTAGCGTGGGTATGCATTCTACTTTTCAAAGATCTTGCTAAAAGGAACAGGGTTCACTTAATATGGATCCCGTGCTCAGCGGATTTGAGGAAAATAAAAAAGCATATGTACTAGCGAGAAAAGGGGCGGCTTCATATTATATTGGGCCTAAACCATTCTGCGGTTCTTCATGGAGCTTTTTCAAACTCAAAATCATTGAGTGGCTGGAAAGAGCAGCTCAGACTGATTGGGATAATACAATAGCTTACAGACAAGCCAAAGAATCCATGCCGTATCGATCAAAAGCCAGAACTAGGGAGCTACTTATGCTGAACAGAAGTGGTATCCGTATTGTCACAGGGTTTCTCACTGGGCATTGTGGAGTAAAAAATCATCTATCGAACCTAGGTATTACTGGAGACGATAGCGGTAGACTTTGTTGCAAAGAAGAGGAAGAAGCAGAACACATTCTGTGTCACTGTGTTAGTCTCTCCAGACTCAGACTTCGGTACTTATCCACTGCCTATCAACTTATAACGGAATTAGGCAACATTTCTCCAAAGGATATATTAACTGCTATTCGTCTATAGAACTGAATTGGGTATGTCACAATAATCCTCAAAAGATGCGGTGACGTGGTGACAAGTTCGCAACCCATTCTTAAAATAAAAAATCTAATCTAATCTAAATCCTTTATCTGTTAACCGACATTATAAGGCAAATTGACCTTTTGCAGTTACACATATTCGTCATAAATTTATCCAACTTAATTTTATTCTGTGAATCATTTTGTAATCTTGTTCTTTTTTTTTTGTTGAATTAAATACTGCAGCGTTTCAATGTAGTATGAAACAAGTTTTTAAATAAAACTAGGAGATACATCAAAAATCTATTTATTCGCAATGATTGTGAACTGATTCAATCCTAAGCAAAACAGTTTTAGTAGTTAGTAATTTTCCCAGATTTAATAAAAGTAAATGTTTTGTGTCACACACACTCCTGCGTGCATTCATTTGTTTCACTTACAATTTTAATTAAATAAAAAAATTTATATTCTTTATGTTTTTGTTTACACTGGCATTTTCATACCATAAATAATTTTCTTTTTCGTTGCAATGCAATCAGCTCCAAATACAACAATTTAGAAATGCACATAAATCTTCCCCAACAAACAAGTGAGCCAGCAAAATATTTGATTGCAGCTGTCACTTGCCGTGCAACATGTCGTTTGTTTGTTGCTGATGTTCTTGATGTTGCTCACAAATAAAAACCAGCAACGTCGCAAATATTAACAATAGCATTGTATTGTTTCTGCCCGAGTTGAGGCAAATGTCTAAGAATTTTTGATATTTTGTTGAAAATAGACGAAGCACGAGGACTCACCAAATGCAGGTTTGAGATTATAAGAAATGACGACAGAGCTCTGCAGTTGAACAGTTGAGCAGGATTGGCTGCACATCTTCTCTGATATATAATATATAATATAAATTGCATATTTTAGTTCAAATGAAAGCAAGTTATGAGCTTTGTTATTTTGCAGTAAAATTTTATATGAACTAAAATTGATATTTTACTTCTGTAAAATTTAATATATCTTCGAGAATCTATACAATTTTAAATTTAATTAAAAAGAAAAATATTAGTTTAATTTGATTTGATTATTGTAACGATATGTAAAAATAAATAGATCTCATGTGAAGTTTCGACCAAGCTCTGTATGTACCTTGGTTTCAGGATTAGCTGTAAAATTCAATTTTTGTAAAATAATCAGATGGACTATATTAGACTCATTGGTAGCAAAATGTAAACGAACTTTTTTTATAAAATATAAGATCTTTATTGCAATTATAAAAATTAAGCTTCATCTAATGTATTAAATAAGAGCATCTACACACACATATATTTAAACATTTGTACTTTATATAATTATGATGAAAGTTTGAGAATCTAAAAATTTTGAAGTGTTATGATTTATTAAACAGTTTGCTTTAATAAAAAAATAATATAAACGAAATATTGGTTAAACAGGTTCTTAAGTATTTTTTTTTTGTTCATGTTGAGCGTTTCCGAGTTAGGGCATTTGGGCTTTTACTCTTTGATATCTGGGGAGTTTCTGCAGAGTCACACCCTTCTCACTGATCAGTTCATGTATTCTTCAAAAGCTTCGTGTTTATTCGATGAGTCATCTAAGATCTGCGTACCGTCCCGTGAGGGTAGAGGTTATTTTTAGATTAGATAATGCTAAGTAGGGCAGCCTTTCGGTTTTCACGAATAGGTTCAGGGTTCTGTCCCTAATGTATTTTTTGACCGGTTCTATTCTATGGTCTCTTAGCATGCCATTTGTGCGAATGTACCAAGGCATATTGAAGTGTCTTCGGAGAGTCTGATTTTAGAGTTGGCAGCTTTGCTATATACTATTTTAATTTAAACGATTTCGAAATCGTGTAAATTGTTTTACAGGAAAAAAAATATTAATTTTTTTCGACAAGCTTTTGTTTGGAACCCTCAAGGCAGTCACAAGAGTGGGCGTTATAACAACACATGCAAAAGAACATTGCAAAAGGATATCGAGACGTCCGGAAAAACGTGGAATGAGCTGATGATTTTGGCGAAAAACAGAACCAGATGGAAGTGCAATTAACTTTTCTTACTGCTAATCCGATTGAAAATATATAACAGGAATAAGAGCAAGAATTCATATTTCAGGTTGTAAACGAATATCGTAAAAACTATCTTTAAAAACAGTATTTTTAATTTAAAATACAAACATAGTTTGTCAGCTTTGTTCTAATATTAGCTGTTTAGCAATTTAAACGAAAATCTTTGAGCTGCGTTTAGAAGAGTGAAGAAATTACATCTTTGCTTTAACGGTGTGGTTTTTATAAGGCGATTGCCAGAACTACTTACACTGCTTGAACGGCGAAGAGGAAAAATAAAGAGAACTCTATTGGGAAAAGCTTTTCGGGAATATCAATCTAAAACGCTTCAAAGATTGCATACTACAATTAAAGAAAAACCTAAGAATTGTTACGGGATTATTGACTGGTCACTGTAGCTTGAATAATCACCTGACGAAGTTAAGAATTCAATCCAACTCAGACTGCAGATGCTGTTGAGAAGATAGAGAAACTGCATACTATGTGCTTAGCGAGTGCTCGCAACTAATGCACATGCGGAAAGTAACACCAAGGGGGGTATTTTATGAATTATAAGGATTCAAGACTAGGAAAGATAGGCCCTATACTGTCTTTCATTAAAGAAATCGGACTTGGAGACTAAGGAGCACAATAGATCTTTTAAGTCTTTCACGATAATAATAATAATAATATATAAGCTCGCAATTAGCACTTAAATAGTAGTATAGATCATTATAATCTTTGTTTATGCAGTTTAAGGAACTGATTGAATTTCTTTAAAATGAATTTGTTTAATGACATAGGCAAGAGGTAAACGTAATGATTTATAAATAAAATTTTGAGTTTATAAGTTAGCTTTAAATTCACTAAAAAGCACGAACACTGTTACTTTAATCGTTATTGTTATTATAGTATGTATTGTATAAACAAAATTTATTATAAGAAAAACACTTGAACTAGTGTTAAGCGAATAATTTTCATAATGCTCAGACACTTACCTCTTCGTATATGAAACTATCAATTTCTTCCAAAGGTTTTCCATACATATTTTCTGGAAATGGCTCAAATTTCTTTGGCAAAACGTCACCATCCTCGACGGTAGCTTTCGTTCTTGGATGAAATCCATATTCCCGCACCAATTGTATGTGTCGATTTTCATGTTTAATTTGGGACTTTTGTGTGTAGGCAACAACTTGATGTTTGGCAACTGAAATACAAAAGAAGAGTGAATGATAAGATGCAAATTACATACTTCGCATGTACAGGATTCTCAATGGGAAGGACATATGTATAATAAATAATTTGGTATCTTATAAAGAACAAGCACAAAGTAATAAAATGAAAGTAGACAATAAAAAAAAAAGACAAGAAATAATAAATTGAGTGTGAAATCTGTTAAAAAAAAGCAAAGGAATAAGTAGAGAAAATGGCTTCCTTAACATGAAAGGACATAATACTATACATTTTATGCTGATCCTTATTAGCAACATTTTAAGCATTTCTTTTAAGCTTATGTGGTTTCATTCAATTGAATTGTGTGCCCATCAATTATGTTCAGGGAATTGAATTTATTGTGAATATTTCGTATTTCAACGCATTTCTTATCAAACATTCGATACTTTTTTGCCTAAATGGCAACCATAAATAACAATAAAAATAAATTGATTTCTGTTATCCTTCCCTAAAAAGCAGTGCGTGCTGATGCCCAGTTGAATGTTGAAATTATTTACACGCAATTTGAAATTTGACACTTTAGTACCCTAAAATAATTGAATAAAAATCATGAAAATGTGTTGATCATTAGTATTGGGTAACAGAGAAAATGTTATTCCAAATTAATAGAGAACAACGTTAAGTTTTGAATAGTTCTTTCTTTCTTTCAAATAATAATAAATATATACTTTTAATTATATACATAGGTATATGTAGTATTATAATGCTTTACATAGGATGGCTTTCGATTTAGGTGTATTTAATATTACCATTTAAATTTGTTTTTTCTGTGACAGCAAAAATCTACAAAAATTTATTTCATATTATTATTATTATTTGTAAAGAATTTATAATGATTGTAAACAATATATTGTTTCAACTTTTACTGATTTAGACTTTTATGTTTTTAAACAAATACTTAAATTCGTCAATGATTTCAAATAAAAGTCATTGATATCAACTGGTAATAAACACTTTCTTTAGTGTGAACTAAACTTTAACATTTTAATTTTAAATTTAATATAATAATAAATATATAATTTAATTTAATATAAACTTTAATATTTTAACAAAATTAACAAAACTCAAGAAATCAACTACAAAGCTCCTTTCGCTTAAAACGGAAATTAATCTGTTGTTTCATCCATATCAAGTATCTGCACTGTAGCTATGCAACATGAGAAACTATTAATCTTAAATCAATTTCAAAGTTTTAGTTGATACAGTTGCATATTGGGATGGTTCTTATTTTCCAAAAACATAGACGAAAAACTGTCGCAAATAGCTTTAGTTAAACTCTGCCATCATTTACGGTATTATGGTATTTAACAAAGGAAACATTTGGGTTGGTATTTTTTGATCAAGGTATAACTGTCAGTATTAGAAATAAAATGGCTGAATCATTGGTTAAATATGAGTCAGAATACGACAGAAATACTTAACATTATTTCAAAGCTGAGAAATAAATGATTTGATTCCCAAGACTACAATCAACTTTTCCAATCACTTTAATATTTCGATACATTTCCTATACTCGTAACATGATGGACAGTATACGCAGACTATAAATTCGGTCTGGAAATGGCTTAAAAGATGCAATGACATAGAATTAAATGGCATACAGTTGGTGGAAGAATATAATATTATTCTCAACAAATACGAATAAGAACAAGAATTCATATCTCAGGTTGTAAACGAATATCGTAAAAATTATCTTGGCTATTCAAAAACAGTATTTTCAATTTGAAATTTGTACATAAAGTACTAATAAACTAAATAATCTTTAAATGTTAATAATGATGATTTTATCTAAGAAATCTAACTTTTGTATGAGTTTTCACGATGATGATTTGTGATGTATGAAGAAAACTTCCATTATATGAAAATAATATAACCCTCTCCAGCATAAAAAGACGTTACTTTTGTATGCTATGTCGTGTTGGTTTGTAAGATAAAGTTTTGTAATGTATCTAAAAAATTGTATTATGAAAAATAGTAATTGTTAACCCTTTCCGACCTAATGTGAGCTCATAAATGAACGATAATTAATTTTGTGAAATAAAAATGAATTTTACAGGTGGACCATGTTAAGGCGTCGACATAGACGTATGCAATGTACGAAAAAAAGTTAAATTTTTTAAAAATAATATGAGTCAGAGATGCATTTAATCTCACTCAAGTCAATAATTTTTAGTTACTTAACTAATACTAATAATAATTGGTTATTTTAGTTTTTAATATTTAATTACAATATCAAATTATAAAAAATCGATTATTAACGTGTTTTTTAGAATAATTGTAATAAGCTTTATTTATTAAATTTTTCTCATATTTATATAAGTATTCGTTAAGACTAAAATTTATATATTTATAGACGCACTTATTATTTAATTAGTTTGAATTAATCAAATTTTTACAATTATTTAAATAAATTCTGATATAAATTTTTGGAATCACAATAGATGGGTTTTTAAACATTAATTAATTTAAAACATTTTTGGATCTCTTTGCAGTTTATTAGTTGAAAAATGATCAAAGAGCATTCCCAAATGATGATGCACCAGAAAACTGATGAACGGAATAAAATACAAACGTATACAGCAATTTCTCAATTTCATCAGGCCGTTTCAGGGGCTCTTTCTGGTTGTTTAACTCGAACATTAACTCAGCCGTTTGATGTACTAAAGATACGTTTTCAACTCCAATTAGAACCACTTAAAACATCTAAAAATAGTAATATATTAATTAGCTCAAAATATACATCACTGCTACAAGCATCACGTTTAATTTATAAAGAAGAAGGTATAAAGGCCTTTTGGAAGGGGCATAATTCTGGTCAAATGATGAGTATTACTTATGCGCTTATACAATTTTGGTCATATGAACAGATTAGACTAAAAGGCAGTCAAACGACTTGGTTCAAAGACCATACACATGTATCAAATTTTGTAAGCGGAGGCTTAGCCGGTTGCATCGCAACTACAATTTCAATGCCATTCGACATAGTGCGTACCCGTGTAATAGCGCAGGACCACAACGTACCATATAGAAATGTTATGAATACTTTATCTGTTATATTAAGAGACGAAGGAGTTAGAGGATTATTTCGTGGTTTAGTGCCTACTGTTGTGCAAATTGGACCTTTAGTTGGCTGCAATTTTCTTTTCTATAGAATAATTAACGACTTCGGACTGAATTTGTTGCATCCTTCTCAGCAACACTTGCCCGCCTGGTATTTGCTAATGTCTGGCGGAGTTGCTGGTACATTGTCAAAAGTAATACTGTATCCATTGGATTTCATCAAAAAGCGACTACAGCTGCAAGGATTTAAGCATCAAAGAGTTACTTTTGGACGCAATCATACTTGTAATGGTGCTATTGATTGTATAAGAGTGGCTATGAGAGAAGAAGGTGCGATAAGCTTTTACAAAGGTGTCGTACCAACTTTGTACAAATCAGGATTGACAACGGCTTTATATTTTGTGCTTTACGATGCTTCTATGAGATTTTTCGAAGAAATGTGAAACCACTTAAAATTGTAAAAAATATTTGCCGCATGATTATGTATTTTAACACTTCCTATTTACGAACTATAATTATAGGAATTATAATTAAACGTCTTTAATAATATTATATTATTGCATAAATGTAAGTGATATTTGAAGTAGTTTTAGTTTTAATTTTAATTACATTGTAACGTACATATGATAACAAACGTACTTAATACTTATTCAGTATTTAATGAAACATCAGGTAATTTATATATTTATTTCTGCAATTGTGTTTTATTATTTTTAATTTATTGAAATAAAGCTTGCCAATTATGTCAACCACTCAAAGTAAATGTTAAAGACGTCGATTATATTGAAAAATATAAGAAAATAAATAAATAATTCTATTAAGAAGAAATATTTCATAAATTTTGTTTGAAGTTCTATCTTAAAAAGGAAAATTATATTTTTAATTATTGAAAATCTTACTTGACAAATTTCTTTTACAAAAGAGATAAATCATGTAACAGTGAGCAGAAAAGTAACTTCGACATCATTCCACCAAGTAAAGCTTGATTCCATTTCAATTAAATTCGAGGAGGAGGATTGCGCTTGGGTATACGAACACCTAGGAAACACACATCCTCATAACATACACTCTCATGTGTAAGTGTTTTTGCCTTTGGGTTTTATGATAAGCTTTCAGTCTATTAAATTTATCTTTACTTCGAATTCTTGAAGTATAAATAATAAATTGAACTGGTAAAGTGACAACATTATCCTCAGTGGAATTGGAGTGAAATGGGTAAGTTTCGTTATAACTGAATGATATTATTAAAAATTATTATATGTGTTATGTGTCTTTAGATGTCATGAAAATTTAAAATTTATTGTGGTATTCTCAATTGTGCTTTACTGCGAACAGATATTTCTGAAATATAAATTGACAATTATTTTTGGCAGATTCAGTACAAAAGATAAGATAAATGCACATAAGTTGTTGCCATTTCTGATTAAAATAATCTTTTTTAAAATATTTATTTTTTTTTAAACTTGGTATAAAATTTGAAAAAAAGCACAATTTTAATAATAAATAAAAAAATAGCTGTACTTTGATTTTAACTTTATTGATCTAATTACTTATAAGCTAACAAAAAATTTTCAGTAAGAACGGATGGAATCTTTCGCTTGAAAAAACTTGATCACTGAAACCAATAGCTTCAGGAGTAATCACATATAACCTAACCTAAGAAGTAAGGAAGTGTAAAACTTAACTCTAGCAAAATCCATTACTGTAGTATTTCAGAGTGAAAATACAGAACGCAACAACAGTTAAAATTGAGTATCGAAAACTGCCAGCCTGAATTCTGACCAAACGCTAACATTTAATTATTAGGTTTTTCAAGAGATAGAATCGTTGTGAATCCAAAATATATTCTTCTTTCTAAATGGTATAACGTAGAGGTATAATATAAGAGATAGCCTTTGGGCAGCTGAAAATATC